GAGGACGAGATGCCTCAAGGAATGTGAGTCCAACCCTGGATCCCATCCCTCAAACCCCATCCCTCAGGACCCAATCTTTGAACCACCGAGGGAAGACCTTCTCAGGAGGTGGCAGAGCTTCTCAGAAGCCCTCCGGCCTTCTGAGCAGTTTGCTGCGTCGCCGGCGAAGACTCAGAGAATCTCTGAGAAGGCCCCGGAACTGCCGAGCCTTCCGAGAAGGCCCGTCTCTTTTCACTTCCCCCCCGGGCTCGCCGCCGACACAAACACGCACACACTTAACAAAACAAGGCATCATTCCACACCTGGGAGGGCGACTGGACGGCCCCTCTTCCTCCTGCTCCTCCCCACTCGTACAGCCTAGGACCACATCCTCTTCTGAAGAATCATTGTGCGGGCCGCTGCTGCCACCTCCGCAGCAGGTGCGGCGCCGTGAGGTGCCTCAGCTCGCGCACAAGCTGATCCTGCGGGGGCCGAAACTACATGAGGATCGACTTGTGATCGTTTTATTATTCGGCGTTTCGACTTTGGGGTGGAGGGGGGGGGGGGAACGGGGCGGGGGTCTGGCTCCAGACCTCTGCTTGTTACCGTTTTCTTTTTCGTCGTTTCGACAATTGGGCGGAAGGGAGGGGAGAGGGGGAGGTCTGGCTCTGGACCTCTGCTTAGTGCGACTGTTTGCAGCAGTGCGTCCTGTGGGGAAGACTACACCTGCCTGAAACATGCGCCAAAAACAGCCAAGATCTACTCTGTGGGGAGCGGGGAGGTGGGGGGTGCGAGGGCCCGCGCCGATCGGCAAAGCAATGAATAAGACAACGATCACCTTGATGCGACTCGACTGTTTGCAGCAGTGCGTCGTCCTCTGGGGGCAGACCTCACCTGCTCGAAACAAGCGCCAAAAACAGACAAGATCTACTCCTTGGGGAGGGGGGAGGGTGCGGGCTCGCGAGCCCGCGCCGATCGGCAAAACAATGGATATGAAAACGATAACCATGGGCATCGAGCTGGCGACGGCCCCGAAGTGTCGCGGCCAAGGGTTGAAGCCACCGTGCGTGTTGTCATGAGCTTGGGTCGGGCATGTCCTCCTACAGGAGGATTTTGTACGGAAGAAATCTAGGAACACTCATCACGACGAATCGTCCCCAAACTATTTGATTACCCTTCTGGAATATTCCTCCTGCAGAGGGACATCCCCGAGTTAATCACATGCGCGCGGTCGCTGTCCGCGATGGGGTTGGTTTGGGGCTGCCCAACGGCCAGAACGGCCCCTGAGGGCCCCACGACCCCAGGAGGGCCCAGAGTGGGCCGCAGACGCCCCCAGAGGGCATCAACACGCCACCAAACGGCCCCCGTACGCGCCAGAACGGCTCCCAGACCCCCCAGGAGACTTTTTGTTCCAGGCCGCAATGACAGAAAGAGCGAACGTACGAGGGTGCCCGGGACTGCACTTGAATTCGCGTAATGCCCCTCACACGGTGCCACGCAAGGACCTGCAGGGCGAACGTCAGCCGGGTCGATCACTCGCGAAAAGGCTCGCGTTCTTGTCGAGAACCTCGGCCATCTCACCCCAGGCCAGATGGCTCCAAGCAGGCCCCATACAGTGGAAGCTAGTCCACAAGAAACCTACCACAAGAAACCCAATCCTGAGACACCAGGAGGTCCATTCATGTTTGGTGTGGGAACCTCACGCTTCCCATGGCAAAACCATCGAACCCCCAGAAACCCGGGGCTCCCCCCGAGGGCCTCGATACCAAGGAGCTCGACATGCTGCAAGCTGCCCAGAGGTGCGCCTCGCGCCGCGCGAGGCGCCGCCGTCTCCGTGCCTCCGCGCTGTCTCTCCAACGGGCTTCGGCCAAATCTAGGGTGGGAGTGATGTCGTGGCGTGGTTGGCTCAGTGATCCGTTCCAGGCTCTCTAGGGTATCTAGGGGCGCAGCTGGTGCGGAATAGAAAAAACATGGGAAATCCTGGAACCTCGGACCCTTGGGATGTATCATTATCATGACCTCTTGCTCCTCTGAAAAGTGCGTCCTTCCAGCTCACACGGCGAGGCCCAACTTACCCTCTGTCCCATGCGCGTGACACGTGTCAAGGAACCTTGCGAAGGAGCTTTGCAAGGTCAAAGAACCGACGTCCAATGCATCTGAAAAAAAGTATCCGTGCCGCTACCCTTGCCTCGTTTTCCCCATGTTGGGCCTCCTGGGAGGCCCTCGTCGCCACCGCTGGATTCGCCTCGAAAGTCTGGTCAGAACACACCCCAGGACACTTCCAGGGAGTAGCGATACGGGTGCCTTGTGGCTTCCCCCATACAAGAGTGGCGGGACGAACGCGCGCAAAGTGCCCTGCGAGAGGCACGATACCTTGACAGATATCAGTTGTCCTTCCGCGCCTCACGGCTAGGGCTATCGAGCGCGCTCGAGAGACAGCCACGAAAGGAACATATAGGATCGCTGCTGTACGCACTACATCACCGGCTGAAAACAATAACATCTGAATCAGTGCACGGGAAGCCGTACACCGCATGCCACGTCCTCGGACACATCGAAGCTAGGCCAACGCTCACTTGCAACAAAGACGGTCCGTCCTTCAACTCCACGGCAAACCGAGAGGCGTTCCTCTTCGAGCCCTTCGTAATCTGCTCAGAGAAATTCCTCTCGAACCTGAGTGCTGGCACTCCTCTTCGGAGGTAATCCTGCCCTCCCTTACCCATTCCATTGCTGACTTCGCTTTGCACCCCTCCAACCTGGGCTATCTTCGTGTCCTCTTTTTCAGCTGCGCTCTCCGTCTCCTCCCCCTTCTGTCGCTCCCCCTCCATGCAGTGAGCCCCCATCTTGGAACCGCGGGTTTTGCGTTTCATCTCGTCAACGATAACGATAACGATCACAATGATAACAACGATCACAACGATGCTCACGATCACGGTAACGATCACATGCTGCCTGGGCTCCTCCTCCTCCTCAGTCTACCAGTGTAGCTCTCCAACTGTCCGAACCCGTGCCATCTACATGCAGTTACTGCCTCGGACCTTATTCCCTTCCTCCTCCTCCTCCGCGGCCCTCAAATCTCGCGCATTCTGATCAACCTGCGCTCCTTTCCTCGGACCGCCAGCGCACTTAGCCGGCATATTTGCTTTCGGGAGTCCCACGACGGGAACAGCTCCAGAGCAAGCTCACACCAAGGAGGCACAATCAAGGAGGAAAACCTTATGAGAAGACCGACCGCCAGCCGGACACTGCAAGAAACATAAAACCGATATCGCGCTATTGCTCCCCAAAGTAGGCTTTGCCTACGAGGGCTTTCACCGACTGTAAAGAACCCGAGGGTGCGGCGACCCAATTCAGAGGCGAGCCCCAGCCTTGCCCGGCTTCCTGGTCTTGGCATACTTGCTGCCTTGCCCGGGTTGTCTGGTATTGGTCCGTGGGTTCTCCAGTATTGTTTCAGGGGTTCCCTGGCCAATGCCAAACAACGCCAAGCAATGCAAAGCGATGCGAACTCATGCCCAGCATGGCTGCTCTGACTGCTGCGGAACTGGCGGCGCGCACGAGGGGATAGGGGGAGAGGGAAGGCTCCTTGAAAGGAGGCTGCCTCTTGGCTGACGCCGGCCCTACATCTGTGGGCAAGGTCCGCGCCTCCTGATAAGCAGGGGTGCTTCTAAGAAGAAGTCTTGCCCCCTCCCCTTGCCCCCCTCTGCGCGCGGCCGACCTCATCCCGCCCTTACAGCCAAGCTGCTACAGTGAGGAAAGGAGGAGCGAGCCCCCTGCTGGGCCCAGAAAGTCTCTGCGCACGCAGAGAGCCAGAGGAGCAACCCTGGAAGGGCCCAGGAACCGCGCGACTCCTCCGGACCGAAGCCGTGCCGTATCCCAGCAGCTTGACACTGTGCCTCTGCGCGTGGCTGGCATTGGTTCGTCGACTGCTGGAACATGCAGGGAGCATGGCCCTTCACGGGACCAGGTCCCTTCTGTAGGGCAGGTGGTGCTGGGGGGTGGCCCGTTCTGGGGGTGAAGAGAAAAGCCCCGACGGATCCCCAGCGGGTGCCCAGAAGCGGCCCTGAAGGGCGCCTGTTGGGCCCTCTTCTTCACCCCCCCATTCCCAGACCCCCGTCGCGAGGTCTTCATAACGTCGACCCAGTGCTCCTCCCACCTCCATCCAAACTCCTCCTCCTTCTCCTCCTCCCCAGAGGTCTCGACCCTTTCCCCAGGACCAGGTTTTCATCGTCAGTCGTTTTTTCGACGGTCCCGAGGCCCAGTAAGGGCCCCCAGACACAGAAAATAGCGAGAAAAACCTCTCGTCGCGATGTTTGTCAGAACGCGAGGGGGTTGGGGTTAGGTCTCCCACGATGACCACCCGCTCGTCCTGGAGAGCTGTCGTCACCAAGGCTGGATGATCCTCGAGGCTCTGGGCAGAGCGCACCCCAGGAGAGGTCGCCCGAGGAGGAGGAGGAGGAGGAGGAGGAGGAGGAGGAGGAGGAGGAGGAGGAGGAGGAGGAGGAAGAGGAGAAGGAGAAGATGGAGGAGGAGGAGGAGGAGGATGAGGAGGAGGAGGAGGAAGAGGAGGAGGAGGAGGAGGAGGAGGAGGAGGAGGAGGAGGAGGAGGAGGGGGGGGAGGAGGAGGGAGAGGAGGAGGGGCGAGGGGAAAGGAAAAGGAGGAGGGGGAGGGCCCCACTACCACCCGCTCGATTCTGAGCACCTGTGATGCCGTCCTCTGAGGCCGCCCGCCTAGCCCCGGGCAGCATTTGAGGGCGCGCGCTACCGGCTCCCAGGCGCGGTCTGCTTCTCGGAGTGCCTTTTCTGCGCTTTCGCCTCCGCACCTCCTTCTCCTCCTCACCCTCCCCCCCCCCTCCTTCGAACGTTCAGCATCCTCTCTCCCCCTCCTGCCCTTCCTTTCTCACATCTCCCCTGCTGCGCGAGCTCCCCCTCCTCCGCCTCCTCCTCCTCCGTTTCCTCCCCACTCCGTCATTATACTTTCTGCTGCTCCTACCATTCTTCATCACCCAAACATCCCCCACACTCTCCCCCTCCTCAAGGGAACAGCGCGTCGCCGTGCTGCCTGGCAAATCTCTAGCTCATCCAATCAAGCGTGCAGAGATGCGGCGCTGAGGGACGAGCGTGACGTGGTTCCCTAGGAGCGACGGCTGCACGAAATCCATCAAGGCCCACAAGTCGACCAATTTGTTCTGGACTGGCGTGCCGGTAAGGATGAACCGCGACCGCGCCCTGACCCTCCTCAAGGCCTTCCCGACTTGGCAGGACGGGCTCCTCATGTAGTGGCCTCGGAGCTGCTTTCTGCCGAGACTGGGACACGCGTGTCCAGAGGCCGCATCTCCCTAGCGCAGGCCTCTAATACTCTTTTCGACCACCACCCTACGCTGCCCCATGACTGGCCCGCAACCTTGCCCGTCCCCTCCCTGCCGCGCACAAGTCGGTTGTTGCTAGAAGTGTCCCTGGCCCAAGGTGCCCGCAGGATTTGCAAGGAGGCCCCCACGGCCTCCAGAGCACCCCTCGCGCACGAGGCCCAAAGGGCCCCAGGGGTTCCAAAATAGATCGAAAAGCTGGGGGCACCTTGGCCCAGGGGCACCTTCAGCAACCCTCGAACAAGATCCCCATACCGACACTGCTAATCCCCAGACCTCTTCCGGGCTGCGGTCTGACCAGGATTTGGAGGCGAATCCAGCAGTGGAGGCGAGGTCCAGCAGTGGAGGCGAATCCAGCAGTGGAGGCGAGGTCCGGCAGTGGAGGCGAGGGAGCACTGGAGGCAATCCAGCAATGGAGGCAAGTCGAGCAGTGGAGGCCAATCCAGCAGTGGAGGCGAGGGCTGGGAAGTGGCAGATCGTCCACTTGCGAGCCGCGGCGACACGGCGGGGTGGGAGCAGACCAGCCCCAGGGGTCCCCGCACTGGCACGGCGCGCCACGCGGAAGAGCGCGCGCGCCAGGCTGCCCTGGCCCAGTGGGGGCCCCGAGCCCCCGCACCCTGATGAGACGGAGCCAGGCCGAGGATATCATCGAGTGAGGATGAATCGAGCATCTCTGAGATCAGGCGGCTCCGGAAGAGGCGCATCCGGCGCCGCGGCCTGCTCGGAGCGTCCCGGAACGCTCCGAGGAACGGATTTTTGTCCTCGTCCTGGCCCCGTCCGACCTGAGATCGGGCGCTTGCAAGCGAAAGTGCAAGATCGCGAGAAATCGCGGCCAGAGCCCAGAGCCCCAACCTCTCTCTTGGACGCCCGAGTTATCCGGGGTAACTCGGGTCCGGGGTAACTCGGGTTTGGGTTCCCGAAAAACGAACCCGAATTAACCCTGACCCGAGTTACCCCTGATGATTCGGGGCTCTGGACGCCCGAAATATCCGGGGTAACTCGGGTCCGGGGTAACTCGGGTTCGGGTTCCCGAAAAACGAACCCGAGTTAGCCCTGACCCGAGTTACCCCTGATGGTTCGGGGCTCTGGACGCCCGAGTTATCCGGGGTAACTCGGGTCCGGGGTAACTCGGGTTCGGACTCCCGAAAACCGAGCCCGAGTTAGCCCTGACCCGAGTTACCCCTGATGATTCGGGGCTCTGGACGCCCGAAATATCCGGGGTAACTCGGGTCCGGGGTAACTCGGGTTCGGACTCCCGAAAAACGAACCCGAGTTAGCCCTGACCCGAGTTACCCCTGATGATCGCGAGAAATCGCGGCCAGAGCCCAGAGCCTCAGCCTCTTCCTGCGTCCTTCCTCGAGCCTGGTCGACCTGGGCAGGCCCTCGGGGCCCAGAGCCCCGGCGAAAAAACGCCCGTGGTGAGAAAAAGTGTCTGAAGGGGCCCCAGGACACACAAATAAATACACACAAATAAAACGATTGCCCATATTTACTATATTTTCTGGGTTTCTGTCTTCCCCCCCACTTCCCATATTTTCCCATATTTTCCTGGGATTCGACGATTAATTGTGTCTGTGTGTTTTTTCCTCTCCTGAAAGTCGCCGCGCCAGGATTTCGGGGCGCCCCGCCGCCGTCTGCCCGCCCGGCAGCCACCGTGCAAGGGGCGCCAAGGAAGGAAGGAAGGGGCTGCTCTGGCCACGGCGAGCCCCGCCCACGAACAGGTCCCCCGCCCAGACTTGTGGATGCCACGACAGTGGACACTCCAACAATCCTAGCATTGAACTCAAGTTGTGTTTCACATGTGTCAAACATGTTCTGCAAATGCTTCAACCATGTGCTTGACATATGTAAAACAAACTGAAGCATCCTTCAGACATCTGGGAATGATTTAGCAGCATGCTTCCTCTCCCGAGGAGCGGCCCGAAAACCAGAACCCCCTCCCGAGTCCAAAGAGTAATGCCGACTTCAGCGTCTGGACTGCAGTCTGGGCCGCCACGAGCCTCGCTCGGGCATCCTCGGCGCGCCCCCGCAGTCTGCTGGCGGCGCGGCGAGGGGGGTACTGGGGAAGGGGGGAAGGCTCCTTAGAAGGCGCCGACCTGACATCTACAGAGAAGGCCCGCATCTCCTAAGCAGCAGGGGTGCTCACGAGTCTCGCTTCTAAGAAGCCCTCCCCCCTCCCCCCTAACCCCCTCCTGGCCATCGCTCGGACGTCCATTCCCCGTGCATTTTTCCAGATCGTGCGTGTATCTTGTTCGCGAGGCGATCAAATATGCTCCTCGCTGGGCCTCGCCAAAAAAGAAAGGCACACGTCCGAGCGATGCCAGGCCTCTGCGCGTGGCCGAGTCCGGGCCGCCGCGAGAGCTCGCTCGGGCATCCTCGGCGTGCCCCCCCCCGCCGTCTGGCAGACCGCCCCCCCGCTTCGGGCGCCGCGCCCCAGAGGCGCGCCCCTGCGCGGCCGCCTCCGCGCCCCGGAGCCCTCGCGCCGTGGAGGCGAGCGCTCTCCCAGGGCAGCTCCCTGGGCATGCCGGGCCAGCGAGGCGAGGGGCTGCACGCGGCAGCCGCGGGCCGCAGCTCGGGACGATCGGCACGGGCACGGAGAGCACGGGCACGGTGCCCAGCTGCAGTGTCCTGTTCGTTTTGAACAGGTCTCGCTGTCCGCGCCGCCGCGGACGCTCTCGTTTGAAGATGAACGATCGCCTACCCAACAGAGGCCGCAGTCGGTTTTGGGCAACACCTGTTGTTGGGCATTGTGCCCATGTCTTCCGTACCCATCTCGGGCGTCCGAAGCGGCAAGGCCTGGCAACAGCGGGCCGCAGCAGGGCCCGGCATTCCGCGGCGAATCGGGCAGAACACCACGACGGAACTCGAGGCGGCGGGGCACGCGCGAAACGTCGACGGGGCGCCTCGCCCTCCCAAGCCGCAATGCGCGGCGAGCGAGCATCCTCGCGCCCCCCGAACACACGAGCGGCGAACATATCCGACTCCGTGCCCTCGCGGTCTGGATTCGGAGGCACGATCCCGCGGACACGGGGTCGCACAGATACGCTCCACGCGGGGCATCCGCGAAGAATCGCTCCGTATCCGCAGGGTCGCTGCCAACGGGCCTGGCCTGCGAGGCCGTGGATACCCAGAGATCCGGAGTCGGGTTTTTCGAATGAGTGGGAAGTCGAAGCAATACGACGGTGCCAAGCCGAAGCAACAAGCCAAGCGAACAGGGAAACGGTAACGGCAGCTCCCAAGGATGAAGGACCGATCCAGCGCAGGAACCTGGGTCCACCAGCAGACCGAGGGGAAAACGCCGACACACACTTGTTTGTTGTCAGCGCAGCGCAGTCAGAGCCCTGTGGCGGAAGCAGAGACGAGACGACGGACTCACGAGCGACGGACGCAAAACGAGCGACGGACGGAGGGCGACGGACAGACGAGCGACGGACACGACGACGCACACACACAGACACATTTCACGCCGGCGGCCACGCGCGCAGGAAAGTGGCGCTCTCGAGCCCTCCGTGAGAGCGAAGCGGAGGCACAGAGAGCAGGGGCGGAAGGATGGACCAGGGGACGCGTCGGCCAGGGCGGCGAGAGCGGAACGGCCGCCCACACACACACGACTCTCCTCCTCCTTTCCCCGCCTTCTCCTCCTCCTCCTCCTCCTCCTCGTCCTCGTTTCCCTGCTCCTAAGAAGCTGGATGCACATGTGGAAGACCCGGAAACCCGGCCATAGAAGGGCCGAACGCCGGACAGACATCTGGCTGCCTGTGCAGCCAGCTCTCGCACAATTCGGCGGCCTCATGCGGATGCAGCTTGCCTTGCCGATACATTACCTCCAGATGCACTCCAGATCGCCAGCAGAACCGACCACACGCAACCCAACAAACTGAGCAAGCACACAGCCATGCTTCCGCAAACCACACCTATCTGTATCTCTGGTTGGTGGAGTCCGCGCGGGAGCATCGAGTCTTGCCCAGTTACCAAGCTCCCGGTTCGCCACAGCGCCAATCACAGCTTGGCCGCGCATGCGCCCCTCGCGTGCTCCTTTCGCCCTCCTTTCTGACAGTTCGGCCTGCTCATTGCTCCGACTCCTGCATGCCACGCACACCCTCAACGACGTCGCCCCTGCCACTGTTCAACAGATGCTCAGAGAAAGCGGAAAGCGTCGCCTTCGTCAACGATCACCACGTCCCAGGGAGCCTCTTGATCCTCCCCAGCAATCCCAGCTTGAGGCAACGGTTCATCGACCTCGCTAGGGCTGTCATCGTCGCGGCAGCCTCCAGAGACTTCAATTGATGCGGAAGCGAAACGATCCACATTGATGCCATTCATGCTTCCCGTTATCCTGCTCCTGCAACTACATCTACTTTGCACCCTCCTGCATCTCCCTCTGTTCTGTCTGTTGCTTCCTGTCCCGCGTTATTCCAATGTTATCCTCTGAATGTCTCCGAGTATTCTGATATTCGTCCTCATACTACCCCGCGCCTCCTCACATCCTACCCCTCATCCACCCCTCACCTTCTTCGTCCTGTCTCCTCCTCGTCCCCCCCCCTCCTGCTACTCATGCTGCTCCTTCTCCCTTCTCCTTGTCGTCCCCATCGCCCTCCGAAACCTCCTCCCCGTCTTCCCCCTTCCTGGCCTTCCCCCACGTCACCCCCCCCTTTCCCGTCAGCTCCTCCTGCTCCAGCACCGCAAGCTGATCCTCCTCTGAGGTGGTACGGAAGCGAGGGGGGGCTGGCTCAAAGGGGGGGGGGGGCATTTTCTTATTTCTCATAAAAGGGGACATCTTGACTCGGAGCCAGCGACGCCTCGCCGATCGAACTGCGCGAGAGGCCCTCGGCAGCATCACCGCGCGGCCCTGGGCAGGCACGGGCGCCCAGGCCCCGATCGGCGAGGCATGGGCGACTCGGGCGAAAGGGGGGGATAGCAAAGAGGGGGGTGAGAATCAGCTTACGTAGCTGATATTCCCGGCGCCTCCTGGCGCCGGAGGCGGCTATGTATCGAGGAATGGGCCCCTCGGTGGGGCCGAAACCAGCTGCATGCAGCAAATTTCGTAACCCCCCCTTTCCCAATCCCCCCCGTTCGTCCGGCCCCCACCTCGTCCCCGACTTCCCCGCTCGAGGAGGCGGGAGGTCGGGGACGAGGCGGCGGGGCGGGTAGAGGGGGAGGAGCAAGGGTGGCCGTTTGGCGGAGGGAGGGAAGAATCGGGAGCGCAAGCAAGGTCCAATTCGAGAAGGAAAACGGGGCGCTGGGGCGCCCTGTCCCTTCCTGTTCTGAGCATGCTCGGCCGGGCCGCACGGACGAAACCGACCACGTGCCGCGAACCCTTTGGGCGACCTCCGAGAGGAGGAGGCCCCCTACCTGCGCTGCTCCTGGCTTCGGCCTGTGCGCCACGGGAGCGGCCTCCGGCGCTCCTTGGCCGCGCACGAACGGATCCCCGAGGATCGCATCGGACGAAGTGACCTCGACCAGAGGAAGGCCCGGCCCGCTCCCCGTGTCCCCCCCCCGCATCGGCATGCTCACGCCAGGCGTCGCTTCGCACTCCGCAGTGCGCGGCCGTGGCCGCAGCCGCCCGCGCGGGGGCGGCACAGCGCGCCATCTCTGAGCAAGAATCGACGCCTGGAGGGCAGGCCAACTTGTCAAAGACCGCCCCCTCGCCTCCGCGCCCCTGCCGAGGCAGCAGCGGCAGCCCCGCTGCCGCCAGCCGCCGCAACGTCCGACCTCCCACCTCCGACCTCCCCCGCTTCGGGGCCCCGAAACCGTGTGGGGACGGACCACGTGGTGACCTCGGAGCCCCAAGCGACCTCACCGCGCGGTCCTTGACCGCAGAGTGCTGGGGACCCTGGAGGTCCCAATCGTCCGCGACGTCCTCGGAGCACGATCCGAGTCCCAAAACCGCGCGGTGACCCCGAATCCCCACTGACTTACCACGAGACGTGGTCACCACACCAACCTGGGGGGCCCCGACCCCCCCCCCCACGGCGGAGGCGAGCCGCGGTCGTGGTCTGGGAGCCCGTCTGGTCCGACCTCCAACCTGCGACCTCAACGACGACGACGACCACCACCACCACCACCACCACCACCACAACCACCACCACCACCACCACCACCACCACCACCACCACCACCACTACCACCGCCACCACCACCACGCCGACGTCGCCGCCCCCGCCGCCGCGGCCGCCGCCGCCGCCGATCCCCTTACAACGGAGGCGGGGACGCGGGCGTGGCCCGGGAACCCGCCGCCGCCGCGGCCCGCCGCCGCCGCCGCCGTCGGCGCCGCTGCCAGCGCCGCCGTCGTCCAGCGGGCCGCGGGCGGGGCCGCTGCCGCTGGCCGCTGGTCGGGGCCGTGGCCGCCGGCGGTAGCGGCCGCGGCCCCGCCCGCTGCCGCTGGAGCGGCCGGGGCCGCGGCAGCGGCGGCGGCTCGCGGAAAGGGCGCCGGCGCAGGCCTCGCTTGCCCTGCCGCTGCCGCCTCCTCGTGGGGCGCGCGGCGCCGGCCGCCAGCCCCGCGGTGCGGAGAACCGCCGGCCCCCGCTGCCCGGGAGCGGAGGCGTGAGGCCTGGCCGCGTGGAGGGCAAGCGCAGCATCTCGATGCCGCCCTCGCCGCTCCTCTCCCTCGCACCTCCTCCTCTCCGTCTTCTTCTCCTATCACGCCTCCCCCCTCCCTGCTCGCAGTCCTCCGGCCTCCGTCTCAGCCACCTGATTCACTGGTGGGGGAGGGGGAAGCGAAGGTCGGTTTTGGTCTCGGCTCGGGGTAAACAGTCGCCCCATACTCCAATCAGTGGCCTAAGCCAAAGCAAATCCGAGAGCAAAGAGGAGGAACATATAATCGCTCGGCGCGAATAACCTCATATGCATCTCAATTCCCGGCGCTTCTGTCTGCTATTTCCTTGACTAAAGGAATACCAGTATGTGGCGACTGAATGTTCCCAGGCGGCTCCTCCTTTAGGCGCCCATATGCCAAGCCTGCTATATCGCTCGGGACATCCCCAATCTGGGCGCGAATGGGCCAGTGTAACACCTGTGGCATTTTTTCCTTTCGGAACTAATGCAAGCTCCTCGTTCGGGAAATCCTCCGGATCCGCTCTGAACGCAGGAGCGTCTGGGCCGCCCAACAGGCAAACCGTTTGAGACGTCCTCACAGTCTGGGCGCAAGCGGGCGAATGTAGAACCCCGTGGCAGCCTTCCCTTGGGGTGCCCAAGCTCCACGCCAGCTCTTCGGCGGTGATCATGGTTCGCGTGTGGACGATCAGACTGTTAGTAGTATGTGCGCATGAGTATGATTATCATGTGGCAGGGTATGAAGAATGGGTGGGATTGGTTAATCCATGGGTGTATCTGATTATCGGCAAATCTGAGCATCAGTTGACATGAGTGGCAGTGAGTCAAGATAACAGCGGATCTGAATGTGGGTAAATCTGAGTGCGTGTGAGCCTGAGTAACCCTGTGCCCCTGAGATTCACACGGTGGGGATAACAAACTCTGGGGTCCAGGGAAGAAGATGAACAATTGCCCGACAGGTCGCAGCATGAAGGACGTTGAGGAGGTTGATGAGGATGTTCCTGAGATGAGGATAGGTAAGGGAAAGAGAGGGAGGAGCTGATAACCACAATCGTATGGTAGTAGTAGTAGTAGTGGTAGTAGTAGTAGTAGTAGTAGTAGTCGTCGTCGTAGCCGTAATCGTAGTCGTAGTCGTAGTCGTAGTCGCAGTCGTAGTCGTAGTAGTAGTAGTAGTAGTAGTAGTAGTAGTAGTAGTAGTAGTAGTAGTAGTAGTAGTAGTAGTAGTGGTAGTAGTAGTAGTAGTAGTAGTAGTAGTAGTAGTAGTAGTCGTCGTCGTAGTAGTAGTAGTCGTAGTAGTAGTAGCCGTAGCCGTAGCCGTAGTAGTAGTAGTAGTAGTAGTAATAATAGTAGTAGTAGTAGTAATAGTAGTAGTAGTAGTAGTAGTAGTAGTAGTAGCAGTACTAGTAATTGTAGTAAACTTAGTAGTAGTCCTAGTCGTAGTAGTAGTAGTAGTAGTAGTAGTAGTAGTAGTAGTAGTAGTAGTAGTAGTAGTAGTAGTAGTAGTAGTAGTAGTAGTAGTAGTAGTAGTAGTAGTAGTAGTAGTAGTAGTAGTAGTAGTAGTAGTAGTAGTAGTAGTAGTAGTAGTAGTAGTAGTAGTAGTAGTAGTAGTAGTTTTAGTAGTAGTAGTAGTAGTAGCACAAGCGGAGTCCACAACAGACCCCTGGCCGTGCTGATATTGTGTCATGGTGATGTGATGATGGTTGATGATGGTTGATGATGGTATTGGTTGATGATGTTAGTTGATGATGATGGATGATTGATGTGATGATGTTGGATGATGATGATGATGGTTGTCCATGTAGTGGTCGTGTAGTGGTAGTGTACTGGTAGTGTAGTTGTAGTGTAGTGGTAGTGTACTGGTAGTGTAGTTGTAGTGCAGTGGTAGTGTACTGGTCGTGTAGTGGTAGTGTAGAGGTACACAGCAGTGGGCTGGGGACAGAAGCAGCAGCAGTAGACAGAAACAGCAGCAGGGGACTGACGTGGCCCTCCAGGTGCAATGCAAAGAAGCGAATCCAGCCGTGGCAAGTTGCGAGCACTACCCCATCCTCCATAGCTGGGTGGCGAAGCCGTTACGCCGAGGAGCGGTTCCTCCTCATCCGTGGCAAGTTGCGAGCACTACCTCATCCTCCATAGCTGGGTGGCGAAGCCGTTACGCCGAGGAACGCAGTAGGGGACAAACCAGGACCAGGCATCCATGCACCCTAGGAGACACCCAAGACGCCCCAACAGGCCTCTGAAGACGGACCTAGGGAACCCCCAAGAGGCCTCCCCAGTGGGACCCAGGGGTCCCTCAAGACACCAAGAGGCTTCCCAAGACGGACCCAGGAGACCCCTAAGAGACCCAGAGCCTCCCAAGACGGCTCCATCCCTCCCTCTCTCCCTCTCTCTCTCCCTCCCTCCCTCCCTCTCAGAGCCTCCAAAGACGGACCCAGGAGTCCCCTAAGAGACCCAGAGCCTCCCTCCCTCCCTCCCTCCCCTCCCTCCCCCTCCCTCCCCCTCCCTCCCTCCCTCCCTCCCTCCCTCCCTCCGTCCCTCTTCCCATAGCCATTTTTGGCCCAAGACGGCTCAGGGAGGATGCCTCGCTGTGACTGGTACCGTGCTAGGCACGTCCCTGGGGTGCTCCTCCGCAGCACTGTGGTGTTGTGCTTGGACTGCTATGGGGAGCGCCAGGACGAGCTCGAACCGGGGCAGGAGCCTGACGACAAGGCTTCAGGAGACAAAAGACAGAACTGGCGCCATCCTGACCAGCATGTCTTGCCGAATCCAACCGTGCAAGTGGGACCATCCTGACCAGTACCGTACGGGTTCCTAGGGATTCCCTACGATTCCTAGGGATCGTCAGGATTCCTAGGGATCCCTGGGAATCCCTAGGAATTCTGAGACTCCCTACGGGTTCCTACGGATTCTGACCCAGACCCCTGCTCAGGCGGAAGAGTGGCTGTCCGCCTCCGAAGAGTCGGACGAGGAAGAGGTCTTCGAGCCCAGCGAGGGCGACGAGGTCGAGCCTGAAGCGGAACCAGAACCAGGTAAAGAGGCCCCCGCAAAACGGCAAAGGACCCAGTAGGCAGTGCCAGGTGTGCGGTGAGTATGGGCATACTGCCCACTCCTGCCCAAGGTTGGCCCCGAAGCCCTACGCTCTTGTGAGACGCAGCCACGCGGTGAAAGACATCCGCTCTTTTGTGGAGGATGCGGACCACGCGGGCGGGGTCAAGGTCACTGGCCTGCCAGGGGTGCACGGCAGCGGGAATAAGCGGGAGAGGTACAAGGGCCACTGCAGCCGGGCGCCTACGAAGAGGTCCTGCCAGAGGGAGGCTGGCCTGGGCGGGGGGAAAAGCGCGGGAAAGGTGCGGGAAGCAGCGCTCCGCGGCACGCCTGAAGCGGAAACGCAAGCAGGTGCAAACCCTGAAGGACCAGCGGAACTACAAGAGGAGGGTCAGGAAGCAGGAGGCCTCTGTCACCGAGGACAAAGACAAGCTTGGTACTCTCGACTGTGCGAACCTCAGGCGGGAGAAGACGGCGTTCTCCAGGCTCTGCACCTTGGGGTGGGCGTACAGGCCTTCCTCTTGCCCAGCTTGCAAGCAGAAGGGCCTGCGAATGGAGTTCTGCAAGGACAAGTTTTCTCCCTTGCGTTTCAAATGCGACAGGCACAGCTGCAAGAGGCGGTGGTCACCGTTGCGCTTCACTTTCCTGCGGCAGGTGAACATGCGGGGTGTGGGCTTGCAACAGATCATAATTATCATCTTTCCGTAAGGACGGAGAGGCAGGATACGAAATAAGGCAGATTTTGTATCATTCGCTGTTCTTCCGTAGGCTGTTTGGGCCAAGCCTCAGAGCTGAGGGCTAGCAAAGCCGAGTCCACGCTCCCAACGCGTGGGAGGCAAGACGGATAGATTTCAGATCAGATTTGAGTCTGCGAGGCCAAAAAACGAGAGGTTGGTCTACTTCAGTACTTCCTCGCAATGGCGTCTGGCGATGGTGGGCAAGCGTTTGCGAATGTTCTCGCGAGCCTTGATACACCAGTACCGCAAGCTGGAACTCCACAGGCCGTGGGTGGACCAGCTACTCCAATAGGCTCAGGCGGTGGCAAGCGGAGAGGTGGCGACCCCACGGAGTACACCGACGTAGCCACGCTGATGGAGCAGCAAACTCGCATGATGGAGCAAATGGCAATTACAAATCAGGAACTACAGCGCCAAGCACAACAGCAGCAGCAGCAGAATCAGCAACTCATGGGCCTGTTGGCGCGGCTATCCCCCCCAGGATTGGCGCTGGGAGAGCAGCAGCCGGCAGTTGCACCTCAGGCCCCACAGGTGGAAGTGGAGTATTTGAAAAAGATCCCCGACCACATTCAAAAGCAGTTGACTCATTTCATGCAAGACTTCGAGAAGTCGATGGCCAAGATAACTCGCACGCGAGTCACCATCGAGAAGCTGAGCAACGACGTGCAAGTGCTGAATGACAAAGTAAATCGGCGATACCCCCCAGGATGTCGGGCTTTCAAGACCAGTGAAACTGAGACAGAGTTGGACAATGTATTAAAGGGATGTGTGGATCAGGATTCATCTCTTGCCATTGTGCTGCCACGTGGCAGTTCGAGAAGGGAGGCGATGAGAATAATCCACCATGAAACTACATTGTTTTTCAAACAAGTGCAACTCGACGCCAAAGAAGAGCTTCGAGATGTGCTCAAAGTGGCTGGCAGTAAGGATACGTTCATCCAGGAGGGCACGAAGATCATGCAGAGCGTGACGGACGACAGAGGAGCGTCCCTCGGCCTCGACTCCACTCGCTCCAAACCCTTCGACCCGAAGTTCGTAGAAAGGAAGCTCGACTCCATGTGGCACCAGATGGTCGATAAAGAGGCGAAGAAGGAGGAGCAGAGGAAAAAGGAGTTGGAGAAGCAGCAGAAGGAGAACCGAAAGAAGGAGGAGGAAGTTTTCAGAAGCAAGCCAGAAGACATGTTTGACGCCATG